GCCGGCGTCAAGGTGGAGTCGGAGCTGCTGTGCACCCGCTTGCTGCTGGGCGGCGACTCCTACAAGTGCATCAAGTGCAGCAAGGTGAGGCTCCCGCGCGCTTGGCTTAGTTGGTCCCACGCCCCCGCCCCTGGCCCGCGCCCCTCGGCCCCTCTCAGCGGCCTTCTCCCCGGCCCCACCCGCCTCAGGTGTTCTCCACGCCGCACGGGCTCGAGGTGCACGTGCGCAGGTCCCACAGCGGCACGAGACCCTTTGCGTGCGAGATGTGCGGCAAGACCTTCGGGCACGCGGTGAGCCTGGAGCAGCACAAAGCCGTGCACTCGCAGGTAAGCGCGGGGCGCAAGGCCGCGCGCGGCCCTGCTCAGGTTCGCTTTCGGGGATGTTCCGCTTCTCAGTGCAGTACCGGCCACTCTCCGCTTGGCATCTTTTCCCTTGGACGTCCCCGGACTGCCCCCAGTCTCCTCCACCAAGGCACTTTGCCCGGATGTAGGTGTGTAGGGAAAGGTGGCCGGCTCTGGCTTCCAGGCAGCCCTAGAGTTTGGTGTCACATCATTGTAAGCCTCCAGAGGGTGATCCTGATCATTACTTTGGGTTTGAGGAGGGTTTGTATGCACTCTTGCTGCGGATATATCAGATTTATTAGCTCTGGGTTTTGTTTGTTTGTTTGTTTGTTTGTTTGTTTTTTGCCTCGCTTCTTATCACCAAATGGTTGTCACTTAATCAGCATTGATCCCTCCCAAATGAAAAGAAGGGATGTCAGCTCATTTAGAGTATCCAGCAGCATATTTGTCCTGCTGTTTTCTTTCATTCATTCCTTTATTAATATTTGTTGTCCAACTTCCAGTTGCTAGGCACGTGAGAATCCTGTAACACATCAGGTCCCTGACAGGATGCCCCCACAGAATTTTTCAGCTTAGCTCAGTGACAGAGAGTAGATAAGCAATTAAGTGTACAAGTAACTATGACAAGAGAATGCTCACATACAGACTTACTAAAAAGAGCAGTATTCTTCCATCTCTCTCAGCACTGGCCAGTTGAGGGGGCAGTGGTCTCAACTGACTGAGGTCTAAGCCTCCTGTTGAGGAGGGTGGAGAAGTGTTTGTAAATGGGTGTCAAAAAAGCAGGGTGGGGATACGTTTTTGCCATGGGGTGTGGAGGGTTGTGGGTGAAAAGTGGGTAGAAAAAGTGTTAAAGGGGAAGAGGGTGGGGTGGAGGGGGTAGAGATTGGAAATAAATCCGGGGAGAGAGAATGATGGGGCAGGCTAAGTGGAAGGGGAGCCCGAAGAAAAGGAGAGCCCTGGCTCTGGGGACTTTATGGTTGGGTTAGTGGTGAGGAGGATGGCAGCCTAGATGCCTGCAGTAGGAATGCCACATCTTTCTATCCACAGGAACGAAGCTTTGACTGTAAGATCTGTGGCAAGAGCTTCAAGAGGTCATCTACGCTGTCCACACACTTGCTTATCCATTCAGACACCCGGCCCTACCCTTGTCAGTACTGTGGCAAGAGGTTCCACCAAAAGTCAGACATGAAGAAACACACCTTCATTCACACTGGTAAGCTGAAGGCCCTTGGCTTGTAGAAAAACATCTGGTGAGGGCTGGAGTGGGGAGCATTGTTGTTCTTCCCACCAATACAATTCACCTTTCCTGTGATATTCTGGCTGCAGAATGAGCGGTACCTTCCAGACAGAGTTAATCACTGCAGTGTATGCAAGAAAACAAGCAGGCCGATTCTCTTAAGTTTGTTTACAAACAACGTTCTCCCCCAAAGGGGCCTTGATTTGGGGTTGCATCCGAAGAACCAGTAAGCTGATCAGCCTCAGGCTCTTTATACTTGCAAAGACTATTTTCCTCCAGCAGTTTAACTGCTGCTCCAACTGCTCAGAGCTGGGTAAGATCTGAAGCTCCAGAGATTGAGGACTTTCTGCAGAGCTCCCACCCAGCCTTTTAGGGGAGGGACTTATGTGTGGCCTTTTGGCTGCATTTTTTTTTTTTTTTTTTTTTTTTGCAATCTAAGAGCTTATCCTGATTGAGGAGGGAAAAAACAATGGTAAATATTACTGAGCTGTCTGCTAAGCACTTTTCAAGTGCATTGTCTCATTTTATACTCACAAAAACTCTGGGAGGTAGAGACTATTCCATATCTCCATTTTAGAGATGAGGAAAGTGAGGCACGGAAAGATTAGGTAACCTGTCCAGGGCCCCAATAGCAAGTGGCAGGGCCAGGACTTAAATTCAGGTCTGCTTGATTTCAAATATCTATTATCTTGACCACTGGTTACTGTATTTTCGGAGTCATGAAGGTTGGTAGATGTAGAAAACTTCTATTTACTTATTGCTCTTTTCAAAATTTCAGCAAGTTCATGCCATAACAATGATAATTCTTTACCTATTATAATACTTTGTTATTTACACATTGCTTTCAAATCTAGCCCTTCTTTTGATCCTTACTGCCACCCCATAAAGTAGTCTTGCCATCCTGAAACTCAGGGTGATGCAATGATTTAGCACAGGCCAGGCTAAGAGTAAATCTTGAGGCCATGGAATGCTCTGGCTTCCAATCTTGGACTCTTTCTGCAACATTTTGATTGTGTATAGGTGGCAGTTTTAATGCCAGGTGCAGTCTCTTTAATAGTAAATAATACACTTACAAGGGACCCAGAATTCTGGCTGTTGTATTCTAGAATATGAATACTGATGTAAAGCAAATTCCAGTGTGTTCCAAACACCGACCATTGATGTTTATAAATATGTTTGGGCAGTGTAGATGCCCCCATCAGAAAACTCAGAAAAATATCCTATTTTAATCATGGACCCTTGTCTGAAATTTCCATGTAACTCACTCCTTTTGAGTAAAAGTATTTAAAACACTTACCAAAATGCAGCTAGGATCTTGACTGAATGAAACATTAAGTCCTTATCAAACATTTACATCTTAGCTAGAATTTGTTTCTCAGATTTGTTTGACCCTAAAGGGACAGGGTAAGTTTTGATGGGTGCTTCCTTATCAAGGAAATCTGAAACATGAAGACAGAAAGGGGCACAGCAAGAGGGATAGAAGTCTCCTCAAAAACAAACTTCATCTATTGTTGCACTTTTCCAAGACCAAGCCCTGACTATAATGCCATGCTGAGGCTATGTGAAAATGCATGCCATTTACCCAAATGTTAAACAGCACATGGTTTGGGGGGAAAGACCAAACATTTTTTATTTGTTATTTATTAATCTGTGGTGAAGATTTGCTAGGATATAAAGAATCCTTATAAAAAGAAAGTAAAATCAAGATAGAAGGATCAGCCATCTTGAGAAATACTTCGTGACCCAAATGTGGATTTTAAAAATACGACTTTGAGAAATGTCTGTGCTTCAGATACATTCTATTGTCCTTCAAGAGCAAGAAAGAAGACAGGCTCACTGGTCCACACAAACCAACGCCCACTTGGAAACTCAGATTTGAAAACTTCCTCTGAATAAGAACAGAGTCACATGGTTTGAAGGACAGGCCCCCACCCCCACATCGAACATCTGCTCTGGGAGCTCTCTGCTTCTAAAGTCAGGGGTGCCTTGCCAGGGTGGATTCAGCTGTGAGTCTGGGCACGTGGCCTTTGCTCTGTTTCCGTTTAGCAGGAAACGGTTTGAGGCCTTTTGCTGGGAACCCCCACTCAGAAAGTCTCCCTTTCACCTGGTGCACCCATGACTTCCCAGGACTTGAGTTGCAACACGTCACCCTCCAAGTCACTTAAAGGCCTCAGACTGCGTTGCAGCCAGCTGCTGCTAAGAGCATGTGGGTCACAGTGAGTCCCCTCTAGCTTTATCATAGACTTATACTTCCTCTCCTCCCCTCCTCCATCCCTGCAGGTGAGAAGCCCCACAAATGCCAGGTGTGTGGGAAGGCATTCAGCCAGAGCTCCAACCTCATCACCCACAGCCGCAAGCACACAGGCTTCAAACCCTTTGGCTGTGACCTTTGTGGGAAGGGCTTCCAGAGGAAGGTGGACCTCAGGCGGCACCGGGAGACACAGCATGGGCTCAAATGAGGGCCCTGGCTGGCTGCAAGCAGCAAGCATTACACAACACTACGGAGGGCAGCCTCCCCACTTGCTATCATCCACTTCCGACATTTCAGGCCCTCGGAGCCAGTCCGAAGATCCCAGCAGGGTGAGCCCCTCCACCTTACTTCCTGGAACTGCAAGAGGGGATAAATTACCTTTACAAAGTTCAGCCCAGAGCGGGAACCAAGTAACTTACTGGGCTGTGAACACGCCGAATAGGCTCCCCCACACCAGAAGGAAGACTCAAAAGTCAAGAGGGGCTCAGATAAAATCCTGGGCTCTGCAGTTCTCATTCCCAGCACTGCTCCACAGACAGGACAACCCTTCAGGTTTCTTCCCTTCTCCTGACCGACCCCAGATACTTGTGTGGAAGAGGAGGAATCACCATTTACAAGGTTGACACGTGCTAATGTTTTTATCTAGAATGAAAAATGAGTGTTACTTTTTTTTTCTTTCTGGGGAGTCTGTTAACCCCTTTCTATTGGGTGCTGCCTGTAAATCTTGGAAGAATCAATTCTCCCACTTGAAGAATGGTTCAGAAACTGATTTGGGGAAGGAGTTTCATACTTTTGAAATGACAAAATACACTGTCCAGCCTGTTTCTTTTTTTTTAATTTTTTTTTTTTTTTTAACGTTAATCTATTCCCAAGACAGAGAGAGACAGAGCATGAACGGGGGAGGGTCAGAGAGAGGGAGACACAGAATCCAAAACAGGCTCCAGGCTCTGAGCTGTCAGCACAGAGCCCGATGCGGGGCTCGAACTCACGGACCGCGAAATCATGACCTGAGCCGAAGTCGGCTGCCCAACCGACTGAGCCACCCAGGCGCCTCCAGCCTGTTTCAAGAGGGAGCAGAAGAAAAAAAATCACTTGGTGGTGAGAGGAGAGGAGAGTCCTTCCTGCAGGAGGCTTGTGAAGACTTCATCAGAGCAGCACCTCTGGACAACAATAAACACTCAAGTGTTTATTGACCACAGGCTGCAGGCCTAGGTATCAGGGAGCCAGAGATTAAAGGTATGGCCCTTGCCCCTGCCCTTCAAAAGCTAACAGTTGCACCTCCGAGTGGCTGGGTCTGATTTTTCCCTCCAAAGGAATTTGGAGAAGACAAATAGAATCTTGAACCTTCTTTTCTGACACATTTGGATTTTATCAAGCATAAACAAACAAAAAAGGCTGAACAGATACTTCCAAGATTTGTGTGTATATTCAGTTTTTGATTGTTACACTGATATTTTTAAGATGTCTAAGCTAGCAGGCATGTGAAGTGATCTTCCGTGTGTACTAGAAGGACACAAAGTGGTATTTTTACGTTGATGAGGTTTGTAAATGTTTTTAGATCTTCTGGAGTGCATTTTGTTTGTTAATACATATTTATTAGAGTGATGTTTTAAGTTAATAAAATATTGAGACTCTTACCTATGGCTTTTCATTTAGGTAGGGAATTTGGAAAAGACTTGTTTTAGTCCATAGTGGGAGTTGGTCCTGAAGAAGCTATAGTGAGGTATTAAAAGTAAAGCAGACAAGCCAATATCCAGAAGAGAGTAAGATCCAATTGCTTGGATTTTCATATGCTTTTCCCTTCTATACCTCAAAAATCCTTCTTTCTTAACAGAAAAACTAGGTATACAAAACTAAGCTCCTGTCTTATAGAGTCCCTGATGGTCCTCCTGTACATAGATCCTTCTGAGGACCTCAGGGTTGTTTTTGTTTGTTTGTTTTTTGTGTTTTGTTTTGTTTATAGGTCAGAAGGCTCCCATATGAATAAAGAAATCACAGTTCTTGGGTCCAGAAATTGAGTCTTAGTCACAGCTCTGTCACCAACATGCTGTGTGACTTAGGCAACTCCTTTGGCCTCCCTGATTCCAGTTTCCTTGACCATAAAATGGGGATATGGTTCTGTCATCCTAATCCAACCCTGCCTGCTTTGATTCTGTGGAGACTGGAGGGGATAGAAAGTGTGTGATATTGGTTAGTTGCCTCACCTACTGCAAGTCTAAATATAAAGATGAATCAGGGGAGGGGTAGTAAAATTGGAATTTGAATTATTTCTGGCTCTATCCCACCTGTGGGAATTTCTTGCATGAATCAGTCCTTAAGAAAATGAAACTAGAATAAGGTCCTGGCCTAAATTCCAACTACCTGTGCTCATTCTAACATCTCTCAGCCAAGGTATGCATGGCCTGTGGTGACCACCAGTAGATTGTGCATTTCGATTCAAATCAATTTCACACATACTGATTGAGAGCCTAGTATGTGCCTGGCACTGTTCTAGGTGGTTGGGTACAGCAGTGAGCACAGTGTCCTATGGAGCTTTATTTATTTTGTCACTGCTGAATCTTCAGCTCCCAGAACAGTGCCTGTCACACCAATAGAAGATCAGTAGGTATTTGCTGAGGTAGTAGGTAAATAAGCAGAGAAAATAAAATTCTGCTTAACTCTGACCAGCTCTGCTTTCTAGAGCACAATGGAAAGATAAATTGCTTGAAACTTTAGGAAACCAACTGAACACATAGGACGCTCTCTGAGTTGGTGGGTAAGGGGGCAAGACTGCTTTCCTCCAGTCTCTCTAAATCTCAGTCCTTGGCTGCGCTTAGTTGGTTTTCAACACCATGTCTTTCCATGTCAGTTTACTCTCATTCAAAATTTACATTTGTTTATAATGCAGTTGAAGATAATTTTCCAGAACTGATGGTTGAACAGTTACAGCATCCAGAAACCTCTTCCTAGTGTCCTGGGAAACAAAACTCCCAGGGAATAAAGATCACAAAATGTCCTTCGCACAGAATTCACTGTGCATACTGGTTGATTATTTCCAACTGGTTTGAAAAGTAAAGAAGTTGGCGTCAAGAGGTAAGTAGACTGATTGAAATCTAGTTATCTGTCCTGTCCTTCTCTGATGACATTTAGAACTCTGGGGCCATTTTCATAATCCTTGTTTTTGCTATAAATGAGAAGTTGTAATTTTGATGTTAACAGTACGCCTTTTTAAGAAAAAAATATATCTTGATATCCTCAGTTCAGAATCAAAACAAATTACTGCGCCTGTTACTGTGTGAAATTTGAAGATTGCAAATATCTCTCTTAATGTTATTACTTGCCTCCATTAAAAATAGATTGTGAATATTCCATGTCACATTATTCATGAGGCAGGCTCTATGCCTTTTGTCTGCTGGAGTAACAGTAGAAAGGGTAACAAGAGACACCAGAGCACACCTTTGTTTCTTTCACTAAATTTTTAATAACGCCTCCAGCTAGCCAGTTGGTGAAGCTCAGCTCTCGCATAAAAGTGGAAAAGCACAGCTATCTCAGAGAAGACCAACTCTTTCACTAGCTAATTTCAGGTTGCGTTTGTCTACACCAGAGATGATTAAATTACCTATCAAGTGTGCCTAGCTATCAGGATTCAGGCCACCTAAAAGGTGAATTTCATCTGATTGATTTGAGACACGAATGGAACAATTGAGTTTTAAAAGCCCCACCTTAATTAAAGGCATAGCAAAGTATCTCTCCCAGACGAATTCTTGACTGCCATTGCCCTTGAAAATTGGGTGGCAATAGTGATTTGACCCACATCATTTTGTTGTGTGCCTGTTTTATAACCTGGTCGTTTAACAGAAAGAAAAGAATTTGGAGGAAGGCCTAAAAGGATGTGACTTTGTACTGTACATTTCTAGAGAACTATTTGTTTAAATCTCTGCTGCTATATTATTTTTACAGTAAAAAGTTTTTTTTAAAAAGGTTTTATTTTAGCAACATTCCATTTGTTAAATTAAAAAACTTTTTAATAAAAAAGTTAAGTGTCACCCCCAAACCCTTCTAGCTTGGAAGGTTATGCGTAGCTTATTTTCAGTGTTGCTTTCCAATCTTTACCCACGTGTGTGTATATTTATATTTTTATATTTTTAACCCTGTGATCAGGGGAATTTACAATTTATGTCTAGATAGCTCATATTTATTTGTAATATGGACACATAAAACTGAAATATTTATATTTTACAATGAGAATTTTGACAATTTTTATGGTTAAGTTTTATTGAAATTTTAGTATTTATCAGGATTTCATCAGTAATTAAGATCCTGAAGTTTTACTTTGAAGTTATTCACTTTTTAATTTGTTTTAATGTTTATTTATTTTTGAGATAGAGAGAGAGACAGAGCACGAGTGAGGAGAGAGGCAGAGAGAGAGGGAGACACAGAATCCAAAGCGGATTCCGGGCTCTGAACTGTCAGCACAGAGCCCGATGCGGGGCAGGAACTCACAAGCCATGAGATCATGACCTGAGCCAAAGTGGGACACTTAACTGACTGAGCCACCAGGCATCCCAAAGTTATTCACTTTTTAAATAAAGCATTAAAAAAAATTTTTTTTAACATTTATTTATTTTTGAGACAGAGAGAGACAGGGCATGAACAGGGGAGGGGCAGAGAGAGAGGGAGACACAGAATCTGAAACAGGATCCAGGCTCCGAGCTGTCAGCACAGAGCCTGACGCGGGGCTTGAACTCACGGACCGTGAGATCATGACCTGAGCTGAAGTCGGACGCTTAACTGACGGAGCCACCCAGGCGCCCCTAAATAAAGCATTTTAACATATGGGAAATTATAAATAATATAATAAACATAATTCTGCCATATTTACTTTGGGTTTTATTTTTAAAATAAAACATTACAGACATGGTTGAATATCCTCTGGAATATATTCCTCCCTAACACCATTCCCTTTCTTCTCTCCTCAGAGGCATCCAGTTTACCAAAGTTGGTACATATCATTGCCATGACTATTTTTATACCTTTATTTATACATATTACCATAAACTATATATAATACTACTTAGCATGTTTTAACTTAATATAAATGGTATCATAGTGTATGTATCCTTCTGCACCTTACTTTTTTTTTTTCTCTATATTTTATTTTTGAGATTTGTCCATTTGGTACATGCAGTATTCTTCATTTCTTTAAATGCTGCATAAAGAATTCTGTTGTATGAATACTTGGTGATTATTTTTGTATTCTGTTGGGAGAGTTTTAGTTATTTCCAATTTTCTCCTTAACAGATAATTCTGAAGCAAACAATCTTTCACATATCTCCTTGTGAGCGAGATTCTTTAGGGTATATTCCTGGGAGAGTGGAAGTGATGGATATTACCAAGTTACTCTCCAAAGTGGTTATACCAATTTACATTCCCACCAACAGTGTAGGAAAATTCCTGTTTCTCTGCACCTTACCAACAGTTGATCTTGTCAGACTTTAAAAATGTTTGCCAATCGGATGGATGTGAACTGTTATTGTAATTTGCGTTTCCTGATTCTTAGTGAGGTTGAGCATCCTTTCATAAGTTTATTGGTCTGACAGGTTTCCTTTCCTGTGAGATGCCTTTTCATGTTCTTTGTCCATTTTTGGTTGGGTTGTTTGCTTTATATCAATTTATATTTTAAAATATATTCTAAATAGTCATTGTTCTGTAAAATGTGTTGCCCACATGTCCCAGTCTATAGCTTGCCTTTTTGTTTTGGTGGAAGGGAGGATTTGCTTGTTTTTTGTGTTAATGTACTCAAATATATCAGTCTTTGGTTTGTGGTTTATACTTTTTATATCCTAATTCAGAAATTCTTCCCTGATTGGTGGTCATAAGCTCATTCCCTATGTTTTCTAAAAACATTAAAATATTTACTTCTAAAATTAGCTTTTTTTTCTTTATTTTTAAAATTTAAATTCAAATTAGTTAACATATAGTGTAATAATGATTTCAGGGATAGAATTTAGTGATTCATCACTTACACATGACACCCACTGTTCATCCCAACAAATGCCCTCTTTAATGCCCATCATCCATTTAGCCCACCTCCCCATCCCCCTCCCCTCCAGCAACCCTCAGTTTGTTCTCTGTCTCTTATGGTTTGTCTTATGGTTTGTCTCCCTCTCTGATAACATTAGCTTTTTAATCTACTTATATGTTATGATATGAAATAGAATCTAACTAAAATTTTTATTGCCCACACAGATAACCAATTACTCCAACATTATTTATTGCAGATTACATCCTTTTCCCTTGAAACGTAAAGCCACCTCTGTCATATATCAAGTTTCTATTTCTGTATGGTTCTTTGGGCTTCCTAATTTGTTCCATTGGTCATTTTATCTATCTGTATGCCAAAGCCATAGTATCTTAATTAAACCTAAAATAAACTCTTAGTAACTAGTAGGAAAGGTTTCCCTCTGACCTGTTTTGTTCTCATCAGGAATAGCTTGGCTACCTTTGTCTGTTTGCTCTTGCTTGTGAAAAACTATGTTGGATTTTTTTATTTGTACTATATTTATTATTTAATTGGGAATGGAAATCTTTTTGATATTGATTCTTCCTATCCAAAAATAAGGAAGGTATATTACTCATTCATTTAGGTCTTCTTTTATGTCTTTTAATAACATTTAATTTTTGTCATAATTTCGTCTTTTTTTGGTTCATTGCTCTTATAATTATTTTTTAAAACTGCATTTCCTAACTATCTGCTACTGGTGTGTGGGAACAAAATTATTATTTTTTTGTATATTGATCTTGTATCCTGTAACTTTGCTGAACCTTCTTTTTAGTGTATTGTAGATCATTTCAGATTTTCTATGTAAGACAGTCATAAAATATGCAAATGATTGTTTGCTTTGTTGAAAGGCTTTGTTTGGCCTTTCTAACATACTCTTCTTGACTTGCTGCAGTAGACAAGGCTGCATTGAACAGGGGCAGAATAAGAGACATCCTTGTTTTATTTCTGACTTCCAGGGAAATGCTTTTTTTTTTTAATTTTTTTTTAATGTTTATTTATTTTTGAGACAGAGAGAGACAGAGCATGAATGGGGGAGGGGCAGAGAGAGAGGGAGACACAGAATCGGAAACAGGCTCCAGGCTCTGAGACATCAGCCCAGAGCCTGACGCGGGGTTCGAACTCACAGACCGTGAGACGGTGACCTGAGCTGAAGTCGGACGCTCAACCGACTGAGCCACCCAGGCGCCCCTAAATGCTTTTAATTTTTCACAATTTAGTGTGCTATTTTGGGTAGGTTTTGGTAGACAACTTTTTAAAAATTAGGTTAATTTCTATTTGGTAAGAATTTCTGCTTGTATGCCTGGGCATTTAATTTTATTATATAATTTTGGGGCATCTGTTGAGAAAAGTGTGTTATTTCTAAATCTGATGGGTTTTATTCTTTACTTTGTCAATGTGGTGAATGACATTTATAGATATTCTAGTGTTAAACTATCCTTTCATTGCTGGGGGTGGGGAACAAGTTGAGACTTGGTTATTTTTGAAAAACTACATTCCTGATTTGGTTTGTGAACTGTATCTTTTTAATTTTAGAAAGAGAGAGTGTGAGCATGGGAGAGGGGGAGATGGAGAAAGAGAGAGACAGAAAGAGACAATCTTAAGCATCCCATGGAGCCTGATGTGGGGCTGGATCCCACAACCCTGGGATCATGAACTGAGCCCCTGGTTTGCTGAATTTTATTTAGGATTTTTGCATTTATGCTTATTGGTGAAATTGGCTTAATCTTTCTTCCTTATACTACCCATATGTGGTTTTGATATCAAGGTTTAACTCATTTCAAAATGAATAGGGCAGCATTTCCTCTTTTTTCGTTTTCTGGAACAATTTATGGAAGATTGCGATTATATGTTCCTTGAGTATTTGATAGAACTTATCTGGGCCTGTATGTGTGCACATGCATGTGTGTGTGTGTGTGTGTGTGTGTGTGTGCACATAAAGGGAAAGAAGAGAGTATATATATATATATATATATATATATATACACTATATATACATATGTATATGTATATATGTATATGTATATATGTA